AAATTCTCTTAAGAATCATCTTATATCCCAACTAATAATACTCAAGACACAAATCCTCTTACTTTAGTATATAACAATCCAATGATGAATCCTAGTTTTCAAAAGCCTTCTAGTATCGGTTTTGGTCCACTTAATTTCAAATGCCGTTTTACCCACATAAACAAAATTTTCAACCACATCTGATGCAAGAGAAACCAAACAATAGTAAAAAAAACTATGCAAACAAGAAAGAATAGTCGATAGACGACGCAAGATGACATATTGCTATATAGCTCGTGGCTTAACGTAGACAAATACGTAACAATCGGTACTGATCAACATAGATCAAACTTCTGGCGTTGTGTAGCCAAATATTACGATATATATCATAATAATATACCTAAACGGAGAGAAACAGTCAGACGCTTCAAAATCATTGGAGCACCTGAATCATGCTATTCTAAGTTTGTTGGGTGTTAACAAATTCAACATAGTAGTCAAAGTGAGTTAAATGAAGAAGACAAATAAAATAAAATAAGGCTCTAGCATTATATATTTCATCTTCATTTTTTCATTATGGGAAACTTTTTTTTCCCGCTATGAAAATAGGTTTTGAAGATCACCGCAATAAAAAAAAATATACTATTTTTTTTTCCTCTATAAATTTTTTTCCGCAAAAATATGAACTTTACAAAAGCAAAACCGGCATCACAAAATTGACAGTTATTTACTTATTTATGAAAAAAATTATTTTATTATTTTTTAGCGATTTCAGTAACAAATTAAAACATAACTTGCTGCGCGAATAAACCTCACCCTCGCTCCGCCGACCGCCGCCGTTGTTCTCATTTCCCGTCGGTATTTCTTCGTTCGATTAAGGTTAAGCACTGTCATTGTTTTCCCATAATTTACATAAATTTGTTTCATCACTTCATGAGTTCCATAGATTTTACATCCCTAAATGAACGAATTAAGTAGGTTTATCAAATGATTCGAAGTAACACAACTCTCGATCAAACTTGAACTTCTTTTCTAGGGTTTACCATTGTCTGTAGCTGTTTGGTATTCCAATTTCGGTCATATACGGAGACACACTCAGCTTATGATTCGAAAAGAGTAGAATCGACATGAAAGTTGTAGCCTTTAAATGCCATTGATGTTTTCTTCATTCTTCTAATTGAACAGCTTTTCTTGTTTGTTTATTCCAAATTCCAATGGCACTGCGTTTCAGCCACTCTCGCATTATGTCCAGTTTGTTTCAATTCCGCTCATTTTCTTCATTCGATTCTCCCATTTTTGAACACAAGGAAATCGTACTAGACACTGTCACAAAACCTACACTTCCTTCTCTCAAACCATCAAATGATGCTGATTTAATTTCTCAAATTCTCATCCAACACCATAACCCATTCCACACCATGGAATCCTCTCTACAACTCAACGGAATCAAGATTTCCCCAATTCTTGTCCACCAAACCCTAATTCGTCTCAAAAACATCTCCAAGATCGCCTTAGCTTTCTTCTCATGGGCTAAAGAACAATCCCTCTACTCTCACGACTCCCATTCGTACAACCTCATGATCGACATATTGGGTAAAGTTAGACAATTCGATGTTGCTTGGCAATTGATCATAGAAATGGATCAAAATGGTGTAAACCCAACTTCCACCACTTTCTATGTCCTGATCCGGAGGCTTATATCCGCGGGTCTAACCCGCCAAGCTATCCGTGCATTTGATGATATGGGTTGTTTTGTGGTAAACGATACTGAAGAAGAAGAACAACAACAACCCATTCATGACTTCTATTTTCTTTTTGATACCCTTTGTAAATATGGCTACCCGAAAGTTGCTACAGAGATGTTCAACAAATGGAAAAACTGGAGATTTGAACCTGATGCAAAGATTTACACGATTCTGATATATGGGTGGTGTAAAATGAACAAACCCAAGATGGCTGATAAGTTTTTCAAAGAGATGGTGAGTAATGGAATCGAACCTAATGTTGTTACTTACAATGTTTTGTTAAATGGAATATGTCGGAAGTCAAGTTTACACCCTGAAGATCGTTTCATAAGGACAATTCAAGCTGCAGAGAACCTGCTCGATGAAATGCCACAAAGAGGTGTTGACCCTGATGTTACTAGCTATTCAATTATCCTACATGTTTATAGCCGTGCACATAAGCCAGATCTCACACTTCAAAAGTTAAAGATCATGAAAGATAAAGGGATTCATCCAACTTTAGCAACCTACACATCTGTTGTAAAGTGTCTTTGTTCATGTGGGCATCTTGAAGATGCTGAGATTTTGCTTGATGAAATGGTGTCCAATGGGGTTACGCCATCTGGCGTGACGTATAATTGTTTCTTTAAGGAATATAGAGGTAGGAAAGATATCGATGGTGCTTTGAGATTGTACACGAAAATTAAAAAAGATAGTGTTTTTTTACACGATACGCATACGTATAACATACTTATGGGGATGTTTATGGATTTGAATCGTTTTGATCTTGTGAAAGAGATTTGGGATGATATGAAAGGTAGTGTTTGTGGGCCTGATTTGGATTCATACACATTGTTGGTTCATGGATTGTGTGAAAAGGAAAAGTGGAGAGATGCGTGTGGGTATTTTGTTGAAATGATTGAAAAAGGGATTTTGCCACAAAAGGTTACGTTTGAGACGTTGTATAGAGGGTTGATTCAATCGGATATGTTGAGGACATGGAGGAGATTGAAGAAAAAACTTGATGATGAGTCGATTTCTTTTTCTTCAGAATTTGAAAAGTATCATGTTAAACCTTATAAAAGATGAAAGTATGTTGCTATGATGTATAAGTGAGATTAGGGTTATCGATTTCATGTAAAGTTTTCACTTTTTAGGTATTAAATAGTGAAGTTTCTATACTTAGAGATCTTGAAAGGGTTGTAGATATGCATTTATGCAACAACGTTTCATCCTTTTCTTGATTTATGTGATAACTAGACAAATGCCCGTGCTTTGACCAAATAAAATTATGTGGTTAAACTTTTGGCAAATATATGTTATTGAAAATAAGGGCTAATTGGACTTCTTCCAACATTGCGGCTGATTCATCCTTGAAAACGTAACTGATTAAAGAAGAAACAGAGCTAGCGAGATTCGGACTCGAGTTGACAAACTCATTATATGAATGCAAGTTAGACTTTTTATATATAATGTGCAACACTTTTTATATATAATGTGTAACATTGATAATTACTAATATTATTACTTTGGTTATTTTGATTTTGCTTATTTCTATTATATATTTTTATGAATGTGTGTGGTGTGTGTATATAGATATAATTATAAAGATAAAAAAAAAACTTTTTAAAGGTATAAATATATTTTAAAGGTATGTATAGGTTTAAAAACATATTTATATATTTAAATACGTATTTATATATTTGAAAGAATATTTATATTTTAAAAACATATTTATACATTTAAAAGCGGGAAAAATTTGTGAAATGATCAAAAAAGTGGTGGTGTTTTTAAAAAAAAAATAATCACGAAATGACATTTTCATTAAATGACCAAGGTTTCCGTAGAGAGGGGCTCTGTGTAAAACCACATAAAAAAAAAATTGCATTGTGGATTCGAAAAGCTTTGCTGTGGAAAAAGAAGAAACGAACGGGAAGAAACATATTCTCAATCGATCGAAAAGCTTAGCCAACGAACTCGCAATCGTTTGATTTTAATCCTTGTGAGTTTTTTTTTTTTTTTTTTTTTTTTTTTTTTTTTTTTTTGCAAAAAACTAAAAAATTGAGGGTTTATTTAGAAGCATTTAGAAAGTTTGGATATTTTCATAAAAAAAACAGTTATTTTTTGGAAAAAAAAAATACAAAATTGAGGGTTTTTTCAGAAAAAATGAAAAAATATTTTCAGAAAAAAATAAAGTTGACATTTAATCCAGAAAAAACACACAAAATACAAGGTATTTTATGAGATTAACCCTATTGTAAGTTGTATTTATGTAGAAATGAACAAATGGTGCAATATTGAAATACTTATAAACACTCTATAATAATCTAGTTACATATTCAAACTCAGTCTTCTTCTTTTAAAACTTTTATCGAAAGCAAAAAATTCTTAATACAAAAAGTACTTAAGGAAACTTTGAGAAGGTTTAGCTTTTATGTTTCGACATTTTACGTCTTTCAAAATATTATAATTACATTTGTTAAATTTGCACATAGATAAAAGTTACAGTTTCTGGCTATTAATTATTAGTTATAAAGGCAACTATTAGGTAATTTTGTGTAACATACCTAGATTTAAGGCTATTGGGTATGGGCTCGGACGTTGAGATCCTATACGTCATGTCATAATAGCGTTATAACACCATGAACACCGCACCATCTTCATTTTAGGCGTTGGTGTCATAACATGTTGAAATAGGAGTACTCTCTCTCTCTCTCTCTCTCTCTCTCTCTCTCTCTCTCAACACTATATTATAATATAATATGAGAACACCACTCTCACTTCAAATTATAACATGTTGGAATGTGAGATGACAAGATTTCAATGTTATAACATTTACCTTGTAGCCTAAAACTTAGTTGTGTATCCGTAGTGTAGCCAAGCTCTCAAAAACCAAGAAAACTAATTTGCAATGTACCATGGGCTAAACACGAAAGAAAATAATTTCTTAAACAACTAATATACGTCTGCATTGCATCATACATATACGATGATGAAACGTAAACAATGTAATAAATTTTGAAACACACATTAATAACGTAAAGTTCATGTTGATCTAATATGAATTTCAAGTTGTTAATATGTATTTCATCTTATACAATATGAATATCACATATATTCCAACATTCCATGTTATTTAATATGAATTTCATGTTATAAAACGAAAATTTAACATAATTAATCCTTCTATAACGTTAAAATCGCATCAATATTTTGCAATTATTTACAATAAAAAAATATTAAAAAAATAAAAACCCACAAGTTGTTTGCATGACTATATCTATTTGTTATTTTCTAAAAATCGATTTTAATAGAACATGAACAAATATTGTGTGCAAAGCCATGATTTTGCGAGAATCAGTTACCACAAAAATGGATTCATTCACGATGCAGATCGAAACATTTATGCGTAATCATCTCACACACACGAAACTTTTCATAGTTGGATCTGTTTCTTCCACTTCGCGCGCGAAACGAAGAAGATGAAGAACACGCGATGCACTGGACGCAAAGTGTCACCCAAATGGATACTCATTTTCAGCACCTTCAGCTTCGCATTCGGCATGTTCTTCACCAACAGGTCTGTTTACAGATCATCAATCAATAACTGAAATCGAGGTTTCTTAACGACTTTGCAAATCCCACTTGATCATATGCGATCAATTGTTTGATTGATTTTCTCAAATCAGAAGCCTGGAGTGTCTGAGTTAGTCGCATTTGATCACGAATCAGAACTGAAATTGGGGGTTATTGTAATGATGATTGTAGGGTGTGGGCTCCGCTTGATTCCGATGGGAAGGTTATGCGGCGACGTGAACAGGAAATCAAAATTATTTCCGATGATTGCATAACAAATAAGGTTAAACTGTTCTTCAAAAACACCTACATAATGAAATTGGATTTTATCGTTCTCTTCGTCACCATTTTTTTGATGGGATTTCGATGGGTTTGATTCAGGATTCTGATATACTCGGAGCAATTCATAAATCTGATGAAGCAATCCGGTGAATACTTCCAATCTTCCATATCAATACACTCTTTGCATACATGATTTTTTATCAATCTATATTTCACTCTATATAGTGATTACTGAACGCGTTACATACTGAAAAATCAAACATAATTGTATGTTCTTTACAAATATATCGATCTAATGGTAAAGACTAATGTATCATTAATTGGAGGGCTATCAGATCACTTGGAAACTCGCTTTCAAAGCTGCGAATGGAGCTTCCTATCGCTGAAAGTTCACCTGAGAAACTTAACCATGGAAGTTTACAAGCAAACAAAACTGTTTCTGAAAAAGACTCAAGAAGGAAAAAAGCATTTGTGGTTATTGGGATTAATACTGCGTTTAGTAGCAGAAGAAGACGTGATTCGGTTAGAGAAACATGGATGCCTAGGGGTACGTTTGTCATTTACATGATTGTTGATCAAATTTTATGCATTTTAAAGTGCATTATCTCAAAACATCATTTATATAATTGCCTACCATATATTGTGTTGTGAGATTGTAATAACTAATAACATATAAATCTTTGTTCTTGACTAGGTGAAAAGTTAATTCAGCTCGAGAAGGAAAAGGGTATTGTTGTCCGTTTCATAATTGGTCATAGGTGATGCGATCTTTCATTTCTTTTTCAGTGTATGTTTGTGTTTAATAATTGGTCAAATATTAGTATTTCTCCAATATATATATATATGCAAAAATGTCTTTCTTTAGCACTACATATTCTGTAAAATACCTCAAACAACTTGGTATCATATTTCAAGAAAGTGATCAACTTTTGGATGATTCTTTAAAAATGCTTTAAAAAGAGAGTAGTTTACAAAAATAAACGAATTTGAATCTGTTTAAGAACGATGGTTTGTTTGCAAAAAGACAAAATGACCAAACTAACCTTCCATTTTTTGTAGTGCAACATCTAAAAGCATTTTGGATCGAGCCATAGATTCTGAGGAATCACAACATAAAGACTTTCTGAGGCTTGTAAGATCAAACACACATATTTACTAAATATATATTTTTTTACCCTTGAGATCAATCAATATCTGATTTTTTTTTTTTTTTTTTTTTTTTTATTATTATCAATCACCTCAGAAACATGTTGAAGGGTATCACGAATTAACAGCCAAAACAAGAACATTCTTTGCCACTGCATACGCCAATTGGGATGCAAAATTTTATGTCAAAGTGGACGACGATGTTCATGTCAATTTGGGTATTATATTATATATATTAAAAAAAACAAAAAAAATCTTTTTGGGGTTTTTCAAAAGCTAAAATTACTTATTTGCCCTTTTATGATCAGGCATGTTAGCTTCAACCCTCCATAGGCATCAAACAAAGCCTAGAGTCTATATGGGCTGCATGAAATCAGGACCTGTTCTTTCTCAAAAGTAAAATCTCCATTCTTTTACTATGAATTGCAATTATTTTAACAATGAAATACAGAAATTGTTACAAAGGGTATATTTGACTTTTTGTTATTTAGGAATGTCAAGTACCATGAACCAGAATATTGGAAATTTGGAGAGGAAGGAAATAGATATTTTCGGCATGCAACTGGACAAATTTATGCTATTTCAAGTGATCTTGCTGCATATATCTCCACCAATCAGTAATTATTCTTAAGCTATTTGCTTTCTTATTTAAAAAAAATGACTACATACTTTTTTGAAAACAAAATTAAAAAAAAAAAAAAAAAAAACAACTTTTTTTTCTTAAAAAGTTAGAACTTGATAGGGAAAAACCTCTCGTTCCTAATTTCTTATTTTAAATCGTTCTTTCTTTATTAAGTAAAAAAAACACTGATATACAGCTTATCTGACTGATTAGGGAAATACTGCATAAGTATGCAAACGAAGATGTGTCACTCGGTGCTTGGTTTATTGGTCTTGATGTAGAGCACATTGATGATCGGAACATGTGTTGTGGGACCCCTCCTGGTGCATATCATCCTAATTTTATTTTTTAATCAAAAAGTCAACATTTTGACTTTTTAAAGTGTCAATTAATTTTGACTTTGTTATACAGAGTGCGAGTGGAAAGCAGAAACGGGCAATGTGTGCATTGCTTCATTCGATTGGAGTTGCAGTGGTATTTGCAAATCGGTAGAAAGAATGAAACAAGTTCACAAAAAATGTGGCGAAAATCGTGCCATTTTTGGAACAACCAATTTTGAAGCTTGATTTGTTATAAGTTAAAAAGACGTTTTCGCCCAAAATATAGAAAACCCTTAAAAACCATCACAAGATAGAGAAAAAACATTTAGTTAAGTTTTATTCTCATAGAATATGAAAATGAATATAAGGCCTCCAAAGATTTTTCTTGTAGAGTTTACAAACACATTGCAAGATTTTGAAAAAAAGAAAAAAACATGTTTAAATTCGAATCCTATGTAGAAATTAGAAAACGACTCATAGTGATATAAAACATTTAATCGAACGTATTTAATTGATGTAAAAATGGTTGGATTCAACTGCATGTTGCTTGTACTGCAAGTTTCTTCGTTGTTCCGGGGCAAAGTTCGGTCTTGAAATTTTCTTTGGTTAATTCTATGATGCATGCGGTCTTGTTTAAGCATCGCTGTATAAACAATGAAATGGAATCACGTAAGGAATGGAATTTGTCAAATGAGTTTAAATATTTTTTGTTTATTGTAAATGTAGATAATTGAAAGTTTTGTTTTCTTTTACTTCAATTTAATATATAATGAGGGTATTTTGGTCTTTTCATAAAAAGGAGAATGGAAATGAATTCGTTCCACCTTCCTCTAGAAACGTTGAAATCGAAACATATAATTTTGAAGAATCCCGATGGAATTCAACTCCATCCATTTGCCAACTAAACACACGCCATGGAATGGACTCACAAATTCCGATTCAGTAAAAAAATTGCAAACCACACACGACCAAACATTGAAATATTAGTCTATAATGGATCGGAAAAGCAATTACCTTTTCAACAATGAAAGTGGAATCGGGATCATGGCAATCGCCAAAGGAATAGGAATCACAAGTCCCCGTAGGAGTTCCATAGCTAGCAAACTTGAAAGCCGAAATGTGCATGTTCATTGGGCATTTTATTTCCAAACTTGCGATGTTTTTTTGTAAGTTGTTGGTGGAAAAAGAAGGGTGATCTTCGGATACATGAGCACAAAGACTTGTTAATTTTCGTCTTGAAAACCTAATTTGAGTAGGGTCTCCACCTTTCTCCTCAAATATCACCAAAACATTGCCCGATGGCTTGAACCAAGATCTTGGAACATGATACCTATGTTTGTATTAATGCATAATGACAATGTCCTTAGAGATTATCTTTTTATCATATCTAAGCACTCAGGGTTAAATTCAAGAAATAGCAATGTACTTTCACTTTTTTCTTTTCTTACTAGGATATTTTACTATGAAAAATCTACTCGATTATGGCATTACTTGGTATTGAGATGCTATAAAAAAAGTACATTGCTATTTCTTATACTTTAAACCTTATTATGTGATGGGTTGAAGGGGGATTTTACCATCTTTGGCTCGGTTGTCCACACCCCATATTGCATTTATCAGGGTTAAACTTGCCTCTATAGTCACAAGTTTTAACACATTTATCATTTGGAGCTTTACGTGGCCAATATCTTCCAATTTGCTCCCCATTTAGCCATGCCAACCCCTTTCCCATGTGAACCATATCAAGCCCAATGGGCTCGTTTCCCCGTGGGGGGTCCACAATAGCCTACAAGATTTAATAATTACTCATTCATTCTTAAAAAAAACAAAATGAGACTTAAAAATGCTCAAAATGGTGGAAGTTATTGGTAACCCAACCCCACCCCGCAAGTTAAAGGCTTAGGGGCTCATGATTCTCACATGGCTAAAACAAATGAAGTAAATATAAATAGAAAATAAAATATTATATGAAAATGTATTTTACAAGTAATAATAACAATATGAAGTATAAAAGTCCCTTTGAGTTTACATACCTTATACCATGTCAATGGTTGTTTTTTTGGTGGTGTTGAAACTGAGGTCCAATTTGTGTGTTTTGAACCATCAAAATCATATAGACCAAGATGCTCTCCTTCTACCCCGATCTGTAAAAAGCCAAAATATTGAGGTAGTGTTTTGGTATGATGGAATTGGGGAAGGAATGGAATGACTCATTCCATTCGAAGGAACAAAAGGTTGTTTTTTTGTTGGATGGAATGGAATGGGCAACTCTTGTAGGAATATGATTCCTTCCATTTTGTTAATTTTCATTATTTAGTTAGTGGGTGTTTCTTTTCCATTGCATTATGGATGGAAAATTGCAATATAACCTCATTTGGATTCTAATGAGCTTTTAATATGTTTAACTTTTTGGTTTATTGAAATAAAAAGTCGACGCAATCCAACCCAGACTCATTCCATTACCTTATCAATTCCATTCTTTTGTTAATTCTATTCCATCCAAACCAAATAGACACTTAAAGAGTCAAACATAGTGCTTTCCATATCCAAAATCAACATAGGTTTTCAAATTCTTCCATTTTCCAAAAGTTCTTATTCAAATTAAATACCATTGAGGATTATTTTACTAACTTTTATACATCCTATAAAATCGAAAAATTTAACCAATAAAAGTCAAAACATCAACAAATAAAGGAGAGAGCACCTTGTAGGTCCATGTGGTGTTTGACAAGTCAACGATTCCACTCTTCAAACCTTTAATTTTCACACTCGTTAATCCCGCTCCAACCCATTCATAAAATGACCCTGCATTCTATTAAACGGGACCCACAATTCAATCACATAAATATTTCTATTCATTGAATATAAACAAGATACATAAAAAGAAAAAATATTGAACAAAAAAAGGTAACTCACTTGAAGGCCTACAGTCATGCTTAAAATAGCAATTTCATTATTCCCGGCCTTCAATGAAACCGAACTCTTAAACTTAAAGGGCGAAACCGTACCATTTCCCGATCCACTAGCTGCAAAACACATGTACAAAAAACAATATAATGAGCAAAAAAAAAAGTCAAATCACGGTTTGACTTTTTCAATAATGTATCTTGACCATAGAACCTTGAAGTATGCCATTGACAAAGGCATGAAGAGCATGCCCCTTTGACTCGATCAACAACGTTGGTTTGTTTCCCTTCTTTAGAAATTCTTCATTCTCATCAACATTTAATCTACAACGGTCATGGAGGGTATTTTAGTCATTTGACACATAGTTAATTTTATTAAGTGCTTTTGAATTAGAGACAAACCTAGTTGTATACCAAAGGTAATCGGTTGTATCTTTTGTTGTATTGATATGATCCACAAAACCATTTTTAGTAAAATCAGCTTCTCCCCAAATCCCTGGTTTTTCAACATATATTTCCCAACTAAGTGGTTTCAAATCTTTATGTGGTGAAGATGATGAAGGTTGCAATTGCTCTGGGATCATTTCAATGGTGGAAGCTTGAGATCCAACCTATTTGCAAGAAAATGCAATGTACTTTCAATGATTTGTTTTTTTATAGCATCCTACTTTTATATAATTGGGTAGATTTTTCAAAGTAGAATGCTTTAATAGGAAAAGGATGAAAGTAGGATGCTTTTATAAACAAATAAATGAAGTTACCTTTGCAGTGTTGTAGACTACATTTTTGCAATCTGGAAGAATGCTGACCGACCATGCTGGAAGTGTGTATGAAGTATTCCGAAATTGTACTGTTTTTTCATTTTTGTCATCTAAGTTTGCAATAAAGGCAGAACAAGTCCCTGATTCATCTTCATAGACATCAGCCTAATAAAAAGAAAAAAGTCGCATCAAATATGATAAGATGGTAAGAAATTGGGGATTCTTGTGAATTAAATCTGAAAGTTTAAGGTTCAAAACATGAGTTGTTAGATTTACAAACGAAAATTTATAAAATTATGTATAGGGGCTTTCTTTTTTACTAGATGCAGAAAGAAAGAACGAGTTTATTGAGAAAGAAGGCTTTCCCCATAAAAGTCCTAACTTTTTACAAATTTACCCTTCCGTTGCTTAGTTTTTTCATTCCATTTCCCCAAGTGTGTCGTTACTCAAGTATTATATAACGTATAAACATCATTAATCTAGACAACGCTTATTGAGAAAAAAGGAATACGGAAAGATTAGCAGAAGCATCAATATGTTGTAATAGTGAGAAAGGGCAAATAGGTAATTTTAGCTTTGGAAAATAAAAACATTGTGATTTTCATGAGATGAGTGAGCATGAATGAAAAAAGGGATGATAAAAATCCACCTCTTGTTGAGATCCAAGATGAACCAAAGTCGGTTTATTGTTCAATAATGCTTGTTCACACAACTTTATAGCTCTATGAAGCTCCTTAAGATGCCCATATTTTGGATACCTTGGTAACCCTAAATCCATCCAAAAAAAAAAAAAATTTAGAACTTATTCAGAAACTTTATAAAGTGAAAATCACATAAAATAGGAATGTAATCTATTTTTCTTTATTAATAATAGCAATCTCAAGCACTATACTTGCATTCTTTACCAATAATAGCAATCTAAACTTTTTAAATGTACTTTGTTTTTTACCCATAATAACAACTACTTACATTTCTTTACCTATACTCACAACATACTTATAAAGTACATTTTGCATATTACTATATTAATAATGAAATGTAAGTAGGTTGCTATTATTGAGAAAAAAAGCATAACAACATTCCTATTATGGATTGAAAATAAAGTACATTGCTATTATGGGAGAAAATTAAAAAAGAAAAGATTAATGGGCTAACCATATTCATCAATTGGTGCATCATAATCATAACTTGTGGTGATAAATGGCCCACCAGAAGTACGTCCAAAATTCGTCCCACCATGATACTAAAAAAAAAAAAAAACAATAAACTTAACACATGGAGAAGTTACAAATGCTATATATTTTTAACATTTATAAAAAGGAAAAAAAAAAAAAAAAAAAGAATACCATATAATAATTATGAACACTTCCTCCTTTTTGGAAAAATCGAGCAACAGAATAAGCAACATCTTCAGCTGGCCTATGAGGATCTCTTCCTCCAAATGTCTTAAACCTATCACACAAATATATATAAGTAATTTTGTTATTATTGGTAAAAAAAATATATAAATATGTTGCTATTATTGATTAAAAAAAAGTATGGGTAGAAAACATACCATCCAGGCCAATTCTCAGTCCAGATTTTGGGCATTGTTGGGTAGCTTGGTTTGAAATCATCACAATAAAATGAATTGCATGTATTAATCTGTAATAAAAATATTACAAACAAGTCTTTTTAATCATTATTAGCTAAATTGATCAAAATATAATAAATCCAGTGGTTAAATCGATAAAATGGTAAAAGTCTGATGTATGAAAACCGGATAACCAACAACAACAAAAAAAAATTAATGGTATTTTGCATAATTATTTATTCTAATAATCATTACTACAAAATAGAATCATTTTTATTACATGTTGAATCATGACTACTTTCGGGTCATATACACAAGGCCAATTGTTATAATAAAAGAGTAAACTGTCAATTTTGGTCCCTAAGGTAATGATTTTCTTCAGTTTTGGTCCAAAAAAGAATCTTTTTTTTTTTCGTTTTTGGTCCCTATTTTCATGTTTGAAATTCAAATCCTCACCACAGGATCTGGAGCATCCCATTGTTGACACATAATCCAAGGTACACCTGTATTTTGTGAAAGAGCCATTTTAGCTGCCCATTGTGTATATGATTTGCCTCCTTCACCATATGCAGCTTCATAGTATCCATACTCATTTTCCACCTATAAAATATTAAATCACTTATTATTGTATCATTTGATCACATATTCACATATGATGTTAAAAGTTTTGCAAATTGATGTATCTTTATGATATGTGTGTGTGTTAGAAGTTTTGTATAAATGTTAAATATGTCTTTTATAAGCAAATGAAACCAGAGTTGCTTGAAAGTTTGTGGTATGCTAAAACCAATTTCAAGATGATTGATTTTTTTTAAGAAAAAGTAAAAAAGAATTTAAAAAAAAAAAATAAAAAAGTTTTACTTACCTGAGCTAAGATGATGGGACCTCCTTGTGAAGCAAAAAACTTTTCTTTTTTCATCATATTCACAATCAGTGTTGTGAAGTTCTGCATGTAATGCTGCATTTTACACAAATAATATGTGTTTACATTGCTGTTTCTTGCATTCAACCAAAAAATGAATGTAAAAATGACCAATCTACCCCTAATTTCAAATCACATTAATCACTTTAGACGATAATATTAACCGTTTTTCTCACCTTAAAAGGTTCATTGTCTGTTCTGAAAACTGTCCCTGGCACATAATGCAACCAAACAGGTATACCACTGTATAGGAATTATATATAAAAAAAAAAAATTAAATCATTATACTAAACATATAAATAATTAAATTTAGAAGTAAATTGTCATTGACTTGCCCAAAATTCCATTCTGCAGCAACAAATGGCCCAATTCTGAGAATCAAAAGCATGCCAGCATCTTGAACGATCTTCACAAATTTTGCTAAATCATATCTTCCACCAAAATAGTACTAAAAAAAACCTCATCAAGAAAAAAAAAATAAAGAATAATAATCAATTAGTCACCATTTTGGAATAAAACAAGACTATGTTTCTTTTCGATTTGATATAGAAAGTAAGGGAAATCCCATTAAGTCCTAACTATGTTTCTTTTTCCTACGTGCCATTGATATTTAAGTATTTGATTCATTCACTTAAAACAAAAAAGGTGATTTGACTTTTATACCCCTTGTTTTAATTGAATACAAAGAATCATGACGAGGTGTATAAAAGCCAACACTTTTTTTTTTCTTTTCTTAAGTGAATGAATCAAAAACATAAGTGGAATTACAATTACGGAATTGCCACCTCCCATTATTTTCTCAAATATATATAAACATCATTTATCCATACAACACTTTATTCAGATATGTATTGTTTGAAAAGTCAAATGAAAGATCTATTTATAAAATAAGACACTCACATTGCCTCGTGAAGGTTCATGTCCATTCCAAAATACATACGTCTCAATCACATCTATGCCTCCTTCTTTTGCTGTTTTCACCAATCCAGGCCACATCTATCACAAAAAGAAAAGAAAAAAAAAGTCATATGCTTATGTCAAATTAATCAAAAATAAAGTAAATTTGTCATTTTTGGTGAGAATTGTATTGTTTTGGAAGAATTTGATATAAAGATGTTAACTTTCCCTATCACACAATGCAAACTAAGGCTATGTTTTGGAGACTAGTTGATAGCTGAAAAACTAGCTGTTAGCTAAAAAGATAGATGCTAGACTATAAGCTAGATTACAAAAAATGACGTTTGGTAAAAATTAGCTGATAAGCTAGCTGAAAGATATAAAATGACATTTAAAAGTATATGTTTTTTATAATTAATTAAGGTTATATTCAGAAAATTTTGAAAAGCTCCTGAAATGCTAGTTTAAGTAGCTTTTTAATAAGTTAGCTTATAAGCTACTATTTGGCTTGCCAAACGTGTCAATTTTAAAAAGCTTGAAATATAAGCTAGCTTATCGGCTAGCCTAAATTATTGTAATCTTTTATTCACGAAGGGGTAACAAGTTGCCCATTGTTATAATTGGGTAGATAGAATTTTTAAAACTTTGTCCTAATAACAAAGAATTTGAATGTAACATGTTGTAAAATACAAAGAAATGAATGTATAATGCTACAATATAAAAAATATATCTGAAAGTAAATTGATATATATATATATATATATATATATATATATATATATATATATATATATATATATATTTTTTTTTTTTGCATTTAGCCCTTTATTTCCTCTTACGCCTAAAGATGAACACTTCATATAAGTTAGCCTAATAACCTCGGGATAACTTGAAAAGTGATAAAAAAAAAAAAAGTTATAGATTTATATCATGTCTCCAGTAAAACGAAGAAATAAAGATTAATAAATTAGCTTTAAACCCTTATTAATAGCATTATGGTTAATTGGTTATTATGTTCACTTTCCTATAGCAGTAATATTTCAAACAAATCAACCAATTTCATTACTTTCCATTATTTCCTCACAATATAGTACTATTACCATTTTTAGATTTTTAGCCTAATTAACCCTAACAACATACATTTCCTTAATACACTGTTTCAGTAATAAACATTAGTAGTATTTCAAATGATAATAATTCAAGAATATCAAAACTCAAATAAGCAACATAAAAAAAAATCAAGAAACCCAAATCCATTTAGCTAAAACCCAAGATCTTTCTTGAAAATTAAACTAAAATCATAACTTTGAAATTCGTGGGTAGTCTTACAGCAGGAACACTACGAGGGTAGTGAATGGCAGCTGAGATAAGAAGCTTTCTTTCACCATCGACGAACAGCGATCGACTATCGTAACTCACATTGCTAGCTGCTTCTGCAAATGGCGAAATGTAAAAGCACAGAAAACAGCTGAAGAAGATGAATACAACCAGAGTACAAGAAGTGGTAGCCATTGATGAAAGCTTCCCTCTTCTACTTCTTCTGTTTCGCTTAAAGCTTTTTACATGGGTTTATGTAATCGAAAGATCTGATACACCCTCACATGTTATTGTCCTTTTTTTTTATATATAATAATAATTCTCCTGTTTTCCTCATTTGAGGATAAAATTAGAATAAAGAAAAGAAAATTTGGGATATAGGGACACGTATTTTGATCTGAGAAGGTACGATAAAGTGGGGTCTGAAGAACAGACCAAAGGGCAACTGCATTTATCGCCATTTACTGTGTGTTTTTGTGTGAGGGAGAGGGAAATGGGTATTCTCAGATTCGCAAGCGGATTCGTGGGATACAGAAAGATTATTTAAAGAAACAGCTCATTTTGTTTTCAGAGATTGAATCCATGACGGTGGTCGTCAGAGTTCTTTGCTGATTTTGTGGGAAAGATTTAGGAAAAAAAATACTTATATATTCTTTGGTTATTGATAATTGTACTACACATTTTATTGTTTGATGATGGTATAAAAAAGGTATAATGATTTGAAAGGGTAAACCGGTTATAAGGGTAAAATGTGAACAATTTCAATAGTTTAATGGTAAATAAATAACGAAAAAAATTTAGTAACTAAATATGAACAAAATCGAAAGTTCGTTTCCCTCTAAAATGTTCAATAACTAAATGTGAAAAAATTTCCTTTTGTATTATGTTTTAGTAATTTATTTATTTTTGTTAAATTGTAGCAACATTTGTTGATGAATAAATCTATGAAATTAAAAAAAAAAACCTGAAAATATATTTAAAAAAAAACAAAAAACCAAAACCGAAATACAAAACCAATGGTTTGACATTTTCCAAAATAAAAAATCAAAATTTCCAATCTGATATTGGTTTTACAAAAAAATGAACCATTTTCATTGATGTGAATTATGACCATTGGTTTGGCATGCGAAATTTGTGACATCTCATGAATATGTAGTTACAACATCATCTGAACTCGTAATTCATAGTAAGGGGTTAGAGTATCATCGCACGAATACGTAGTTACAACATCGCCTGAACTCGTAATTCATCACCTACAGGTTATGGGCCTGCTGGTGTTTCCATTGGGTTGTCTAAAATAGTCTGTGGTCGCCATCTATACTCTGGTAGATGACTACATCGCCACATTGCTGGTTAAGGTTATAGTATCTCCTTTCATCCTACATCACATATTCATCATCATCTATATACCTAATTATCATCACTTTTCTATCATCACACATCTCTCATCATTTTATTTCATCACACACCAACTATTTCATCTACCCATGTTTCATCTGCAACATATTTGTAGATATAAAATAAATATACCGTTTAAATCTTTTAAAACATGTATAAAATCGTTTATCCAGCATAGACAACAAGTATTCAAATAATATGCACACATAACACGTAATTTATATAAAATACTTCATGTCTATGTGTAAGATGAAAGTAACTATATCTACCATAAAAATCCCATAAATGCTTCCTAACTTCGAACCCCAAGGTTTACTCTACTAAAGCTTCATATTCTCGGCTCTCTGAACCTAGAAGGGTCCAGATCTATTACACCAAAAAGCTCAAGATAGCTCTTCCTCTCACTCTACACACTCAAGCTCGCTAGGGTTCTCACTTATGGAAAAGGTAGTCGCAATTGAAGGCCATAAGTGCCTTTAAATATGGCTTGGGCCTAAAAATTTAGGGTTTATGCCAATAGCGCAGACTCGTCGAGTCGCCTCACCGACTTGTCGAGTCCATTCATTAGTCTGAGTCATCAGTTGCGACCTTACTCGACGAGTTGCGGCGTCAACTCGTTGAGTCTCTCTTCATAACTCAAAAGAAAAATACTTAAATTATGATACTTGGAAATCCAGATGTTGCATTTTGTTTTTTTATTTCATAGATTTCTCCATCAACAAATGTTGCTACAATTAAACAAAACTAAATAATTTTGCTAAAACATAATACAATATGAAGTTTGTTCACATTTAGTCATTGAACTTTTTAGAGGGAAACGAACTTTCGATTTTGTTCACATTTAGCACTAAATTTTTTTTCGTTATCTATTCGCCACTAAACTATTGAAACTGTTCACATTTTACCCTTATGACCGGTAACAGCCGGTCATAAGGATAAAATGTGAACATTTTCAATAGTTCAATGGCAAATAGATAATGAAAAAAAGTTTAGTGACTAAATGTGACAAAAATCGAAAGTTCGTTACCCTTGCAAGTCATTATCCCAAAAAAAAAAATCTAATTGTTTTATTATTTTGTATTTTTGTTATCCTATAATTCTTTTGGTTTAGTAAAAATATAGATGATTTCTAAAATCTTTCCAATGAAATTTTTTGATTTGCATGAAGTTTAAATTTTTTTGTGGATTTGATCCATAGATTTAACTATGCACTCTACGAGGGCATTTTTAGTTTTTCACATCTTTCTTTTTTTTTCTAACATTTGAGACAATTAGAAGGCTTTTGCCTATATTATCCCCAAATATCATATGATTATTTGTATTTCATCTCCCACCTTTAATAACCCTTAAATATCATATGGTTATTTGTATTCCATCTCCCACATTTAATAACGTGACATAAAAAATCCTACCACCTTTAATAACGTGATATAAAAAATCCTAATAAAAAACTCATTTTTTACGGCAAGCTCCTATATTTGACCAAGTTGACAACTTTTCAAATTTTAATTGCCATTACATGCGTCGAGGTCTCGTTCGCCTGGCGCTTCAATTTCGGCGACGTGACCGCTCATCCTTTCTGGCGGTTACGTCACTTGTGTCAGAGATTTGAAAAGTTTTGCCCCTTATCGCATTCCCTATAGTCTGGAAAACCCCTCTACCTATTCTACTTTTTTTCTACATTTTATATTCTTTCTCTGTTTCTGGTAATTTTCTGCTATGGCGACTTCGATGGGTCTTGTTCCAAATCCTTCCGAGTTCGAGGCCTTGCAAGAAACATACGATCTTTCTACGGTTGACGGAGTGGATTTTCCGGCTTCTGGTGTCGTGATCACTTCGCCTCCTTTTGGGAAGATTGTCGTTTATCTAAAGACGCTCGACGTCGGTCTCTGCCTCCCTCTGACTAACTTCCAGGATGAGCTCCTTCGTCGCAATGTGTGTAACATCCAAATGTTGACCCCTAACGCGGTTCACAAGATTGTAGCTTTCGAGATGATCTGCCGGGCCAATGATATCATCCTAGACTTCTTCTTCAGGTACTTTTTCTGGTTTGGGGCCATCAGCGACAAATATACATTCTTCGCCTGGAGGTCATAACCTTGTTTCTGATAGCAAGACGCCGAAAAATGGCAAGAGGAGTGGTTGTGGGTCAACCAGGAGCTATTCGGTCGGGAGCACCACCGGACGAATACTTTTTCGAACGTTACCTCGAAACTGTTTCCTCACAATCAGGTCAGTGTCGACGTCTTGAGGACTTTTTAGGTGGACGTCGATGAGTATTCAGAGGTTTTGCTTGCCGGAGTCGGGATGAGTCCGGGTTGGTGTGCTTGTGGTGAAATGTCGGTTTTCTTCACCGTATCCAACAGTAATATTGGTATTTCCTTATTCCCCTCCTTTTCCTTTAAAATAAACGTATGACTGGTTATCATGCTTGCAGGTATTGATTGTTCTGTTTCCATGGATTCTGTCCTCTGGAAACGGTACCATGGGAAGTTGGAGCATCGTGTGGTGGATCTGCATGAAACCCTTCCTCTGCCTCGTCGTCTCATCCTACCACTGACTTTGGTAGTGCGACCGATGGGGAGTTCCTCTACGATAGAGAGTGGGCCGACTCTGAATGTCCCCTTGTCCACTGCTCTAGTCTCATGACCTTTTGAGGAGCCCTCAAATGAGATGGTGGAAGACAACAAAGTTGGAATCTTTTCGACTGTCCGTCGTGTCATGGCGAAACGGAAAGTTGTCCAGGCTATGAGTGAGCCTTCTCCGGGGAGTGGTTCTAGCCAGATCGGGAGACACATCATGCAAACACATAGATTTCCACGCTTGATTTCTTTGATCTCTTCCGATCATGGCGGTGTAGTAGTGATACTCGATGACGACGTGCAAAGGTCTAAGGGTTATCAAGGGGCGTCGAAGCAACCTATTGTACCGGTGACTGCCCTTTTCTGAATTTCATTCTCGCCCTTGCTTATCAGGGGGTGGTGCAAAGTTTTTGCACCGTGAGCCTTCTTCTGTGGGGGCTCACATGGGCTTGCTAGTCATACTGCTTCTCCTTTTATCCTAGGGTGGAATCTTTGCATTGATTCTCGGCAATCTGTTCGTTCCAATGCTCTAGAGCTTTCACATCATGCGTTTCCTCTGGCTATGATGACTGATATGGATGCCATGGGCAGCTCTACCCTTTTTCGGAATATGGCCTGTGATGCTGCTCATACCATGTTTTACCTGGTTGTCAGTTCCTAGCGGGTTCAACATTTTAACGATCTTGAACGAGCCCATTTGTAAAATCCCAATTTTCAAAAAAAAAATTAAACTTTTAATTTCATAAACATTATCCAAAGAAGTACAAAAATCCCATAACATATCCACATTATTTTAGAATTCAGAGTACAAAAAGCTAAATCTGAAAACACTGGAGAATGCACGCGACGCCATCAAGTCGGACCCTTGCCCTTATTAATAGAATTATCTTAAACATTCAATAAAATTGTAAGCACAAGCTTAGTGAGTTTCCCAAACACACAAATCATATAATCACATAATTCCATGTACACACATATGCATACAAACTTGCCATGGACTCCCTCCATGGTCTTTAGTGGAATGTCGTGGGCTACCCCCATGGTCTTGTATCTCTGTGCCATGGGCTCCTCCCATGGTCTTGCCAAGTGCCATGGTCTCCCCCATGGTCTGCACATAAGACCACATATAATTCCACTAACAAACAATTATATATTCCCATACAAACATTTCATAATCAGTAATAGGCCGAACTTGGTGCCTTCGACCCATGAGTGTCGTGAGAAGACTCACCTCAATACTGAACGGTAGTTGACTAGATCGAGACTCCAAATATCCGCTCTACACAAACCCTATAATAGAAACAGTTCCTTAAATACAACTCAAAATGCCCCAAAACCACTTAAAGGTCAAACTTGGTCAAATACTAAGGTCAAAAGTCAAAGTCAACGGCCTGAGTTGACCCAACTCGCCGAGTTATCCCTCAACTTGCCGAGTTTCTCCATCATCCGTATAGATCGAGAAAAATCCCATCAACTCGTCGATTTAACTAGAAATCCAACCTCTTAATGCATTAAGCTGATTCCATTGAATCCAAAGACTCCAAATCTCAGATCTTTTCCAAAATGATGTCTAGAAAGGTAAGGTTTCCAACTTTTCCCTTAATAACCGTCCATAATGATTCAAACCCAAACTCTAGGTTCATTAGAGTGAGTCTTAATCCATTAAGCCCTTAAACTTTCACAACATAGTCCCAAAACACAAATCTGGTGTCCAAAGGTTGGAAGATCACGTAAAGTTTCCAACTTTACATCCATGCAAGCTAAAATACACTCTAGGGCTTAATGAAGACTTAATGAGGGACTTATTGCATGAATGAAACTTAGAAACCAATAAACTTTGCAACTTTATGTAACATCCCGAGTACAGGGGTGCAAAGTTCAGGGTTTAAAGTGAAAATGTGAAAGATCAACTCGGCGAGTCCATGGGTAGACTCGGCGAGTAGGGTCGCGATCCTGGTCGCGTGTCTAGTGGCCAACTCGGCGAGTCGGTGGCTGGACTCGGCGAGTTGGTGCTGTGTGGAGAAAACCCTAATCCCAGGGATTTGGCCCTATATAAAGAACATGATTCCCTCTCCCTAGCCTTTTTGCTCCCCCTTGAAGTCCAGAAACCCTAATATTTATTGTGAGGTAATTAGAGAACATTTGGATCTTGAAGGAATGTTTGTTGAAGAGATCTTTGAAGATTAAGAGGCTTGGAGCAAGGGGCTTTTCAAGGTCTTGACTTATTCTTCTGTTGGAGCCTTCTTTTGAGGTAATGATTCGTTGCTTGAGCTGTTATCCATCTAGATCTATCATTTGTGGGATTTTTGGGTGTATATCTAGTGCTATCTTGAGTTTGGAGGTTAGATCTGAGGTTGCTACCTTAGATCTAGAATAGTGATGATCCAAAAGAGCATAAAGTCCCTGTTCAAGAGCTGTTGATGAAGTCTTTTAGCCCCAAACCTTAGTCTAATAGTGTATTATGCTTAGATCTCCTTAGATTCACGTAAAGTGGCAAGGAGGGTTGGCTTTGACTGATGAATTTGACTTTGACCAAGAGTTTACCAGTTGACTTCCAGGGGTATTTTGGTTGTTATTAATAATTATTGGTTTCGATGATTCAGTGGTGGAGTTCGTGATGGTGGTCGGAGCAGTGTGATCTTGTTCTTCTGTTGGCAGTAGCAGGTGAGTCTTCTCACTATACTTTACCTAGAGTGGTAATAGAGTTATGTGACAAAGTTATTGTATGCTATCTATGCTATGTGTGGCACTGCATTATTTCTATGTGATTTATGTTGTGTGTATATCATAGTTAGGACCGGAAGGTCCACAGAGCTAGGACCAGAGGATCTACAAAGTTAGGTTTAGAGTTATGTGCCAGTGTAATTGTATGCTATTTATTTTATGAGATTTATTGTGATATGTGATATGCATGATTCTGAGTTCTCAGAGTTAGGACCTTTAGGTCCATAGAGTTAGGACCAGAGGGTCCATAGAGAGTTGGGACTGGAGGGTCCCACTAAGATACACAGACCAGAGGGTCAACAAAGTTATAGCCTTGAGTGGCTAATATGTGTTAGAGTGGTATTTTGGAGAACTCACTAAGCTTCGTGCTTACAGTGTTTTGTGTTATGTGTTTCAGGTTTCTCAGGTTCACGGGACGGCACCGGCTCGATTGTACACACCAGGGGAAACGTTTGTTTGAGGATCCTGGTTTATTAATTGATTGAACAAAAGAGTTATGTATTGTAAGTTAAACAAATGGGATTTTTATGAAAAGCGTTAAAGAGATAAACTATTTTAATTTTCAAAAAAAAAATTGTTTGAAAAATTACGGTGTTACAAGTTGGTATCAGAGCCTTGGTTTGAGGGATTCGGATGCACCTTCGGGTAAATCTGGACTCAAGCTGAGGAAGTATGAAAATGTTCAAAAGAAATGATTTTCTAAAAGTGAATAAGAGTTCAAAGAGGAAGCGAGAAAGAGCAGTGTGTACAATCAGCCAGAGCCCGAATGGTGATTTCCCAAAATACCATTACTTTTGTGTTATGAGATATTTATGATACATTTATAAGATATTATGCATGCTAGAGATAGGTTAGGTATTCCATATCTTAGGACTAGAGTGGCCTGATTTGTGATGCCTTAGTCTAGGAGTTGCTGTTATATGTGATGTGCTTTTGAGTATGAGTGAGAGTATTCAGTTGGAATCCTTTTAGGGGATTTGAGTAGAAGAGTAATCTAGAAGAGACGCCTAGATGAGTATTGTGGTGTTTATCGAAGAATAGTTAGAACCCGCGAGGGGCAGAGTTGCAGAGTTCAGTGGTACCTTGAGAATGAGCAGAGCAAGCGGAGTTATCATCCAGAGTGAGATCTATGTATTCTTCGATGCCCGAATACTGCTTGCTTCGTGCTTTGTGGAACTCTCGATGATGGGAATCAGCTACCAAGTGAATATGACGATATTCAGGAGGTAGATGACTGGCATCATTAGGAGCTCTTCAGCAGCTGATGGCGGAGAAGTAGGAGTGACCTTAGCCAGATGAGTACACTGGTATAGTAGAGCATTTCGCTGAGGAGCAAGCACGCATGGTAGAATTGGTGAACGAGAAGGTTGAGGAGCTACTTAGGAGATCTGGTAAGGTCCGTGTGGAAAGTATGGGTAGATGTGGCAGGTAGTTTGGGCTCGTACTACCGAAAGCAGAGGACCCATACTCGATACAGGGAGTATTCTGAAGGTTCTAAGTATCATATTGAGGAGTGATGTCATGGTTCGAGTACCATACATCATAGCAGATTGAGGAGTGATGTCATGGTTCGAGTATCATACATCGTAGCAGATTGAGGAGTGATGTCATGGTTCGAGTACCATACATTGTAGCAGATTGAGAAGAGATGTCAGGGGCTGAGTACCATGGTTCTTAGCAATTGATGCTTGTGATTCTCCAGTTGTTCGATCAGGATTGATTGGTAGAGTTTGGACGCGATGGAGTTTTAGGCCTGAGGGCCATGATTGAGTCCGTAAAGGCATCCCTTGA